GTGGGGTTGTTAACCAATGTCATAAAACAGCATGTGTGTTACTGTTACATGAGAAACTATCTGTTCTGTAAGCCTTCACCTGAAGTACAATAAAATATTAAAAAAAAAAAAAAAAAATTCCACCTCTCTGACACCAAACTGTAAGGATCAATTAAATCCAATCTCAATCTGTTATCAACTCTGTTCACTTCTATTCTGACATCAGCTGCACATGCAGCACTTCCTCCTCTGACCCTAACCACCCGGAGCTACGTGAGACCTCACAAGTTAAAGGGCACAGTCCTCCAGACTGCCAAGTTCGCCCAAGACCTCGAATGTCAGCCACATGCTTGGAGTTCCCATGACACCATCACTTCTAACCTGCTGGCTACAAATTTGGGGTTTTCTTACTACCCCTTCAGGATGCCAGCCATAAGCTCAGGGGTCCCCAGGCCCCTCACTTCTGGATTGACAGGTTCAATAATTCGCTAGAACAACTCACAGAACTCGAGCACTATAGTTATGAGTACAGTTTTATTATAAAATTTAGTATATGAATGAAGAACATGCATAGGGTGAGGTCTGAGGAGCTTCCATGTCCCAAAAAAGAGACAAGTTACCCTCCTATGTACATTGCTGTCTATCACCAACCAGCAGCTTCCATATTCAGAGCCTTTACTGGTGTTATCATTACATAATTCAAACTCTGTATCTTCTCCCCAGAGAACGGTTGGTATCTGGAAGTTAATATCATTCAGTGGGTCTTTCTGGCCTGGCCAGGACCCACCTAAGACTCACTGCATTAGCATAAACTGTTAGGTCAGGTGTGGTCCAGAAGTCCTCATCATATACTTGATTACTGGAGAAATGTCAATGTTTTAGAGGTTATCTCTCAGGAACCAAGGACAAAGATCAAATTCCTTGGATAAAGTTAATTTTAAACTCCACAAACAGTATTTCCCAATGGTCTGCTAGTCACAAGCCACTTTCACAGTTCGCTACTATATCTGAGTATCTTATTATTTACTTAATATTTTTAATATTAAGGAGCCCTGGTAGTGCAGAGGTTAAGCACTTGGCTACTTACTCAAAAGTCAGCAGTTCAAACCCATCAGCCGCTCTGCACAAGAAAGATGTGGCAGTCTGCTTTTGTAAAGATTACAGCCTTGGAAACCCTATGAGGTAGTTCTACTCTGTCCCACAGGGTCACTATGAATAGGAATCAACTTGACAGCAAAGGGTTTTGAGGTCATGTATTTTATGGAACTGATGCATTTAAATTATGGTGCTGGCAAAGAATACTAAATATACCATGGACTGCCAGAAGAACGAGCAAATCTGTCTTGGCAGAAGTACAGCCAAAATGTTCCTTAGAAGCAAGAATGGCGAGACTATGTCTCACGTATTTTAGACATTTTATCAGGAGGGACCAGTCCCTGGAGAAGGACATCATGCTTGGTAAAGTAAAAGTTGAGCGAAAAAGAGGAAGACCCTCAACAAGATGGTGTGACACAGTGGCTGCCAACAATGGGCTCAAACATAGCAAGGATGGTGCGGATGACGCAAAACCTGACAGAGTTTCGTTCTATTGTACACAGGGTCGCTATGAGTCAAAACTGACTTGATGGCACCTAACAACAACAACATTTTATTCTTTAAATCAATGTAAATGCTGTGTGAGGATATAACTACCATGAGTCCTGGAGAATCCAGTTAACTTTTACCTCTTATAATATTAACACCCAAGTAATAACTACTTCTAATTTTATATATATGTAGTCACTGACTTACAACAGGGTTCTATACAAACAACTTGGTCCTAAGTCAGTTGTGATCTAAGTCAAATATCCCTTTTTTTTTTTTTTAGTTTTCATTATTACTGCCTTTTATTATCAATATCTTTATAAATCCTATTTTTGTCTCTGAGATTAGCATGAGAATAACATCAGCAAATTACATGCCGCAACACTGTATGCAGTATGCATTACTATTGATAAGATGTACAAAAAAAGAAAAGGATGGTCATAAGCGTGATTGATCATAACTCAAATACAGTCAGCCCTCTGTATCCGTGGGTTCTGCATCCATGAATTCAACCAACCACGGATCTAACATATTTTAAAAAAAAAAAAAAAAAAAAAAGTTCCAAAAAGCAAAACTTCAATTTGCTGCCTGCCCACCAAGTACTACGCTGAATCCACACAAATGAAATGTAGGCATGCCCTGCTGTAGCCACCCACCATTCCACAGATCCTCAGTTTCTCACCAGCACTCACTGTCTAAACACTGTTCGCCTTGCATCTTGCCATTATTCCCTAAATAATACAGTACTGTGTAACAGCTATTTACATAGCATTTACATTTTATTAGGTATTATAAGTAATCTAGAGATGATTTAAAGAATACAGGAGGATGTACATAGGTTCATGCAAATACACCATTTTTTATGGGACTGGAGCATCTGCAGATTTTGGTATCCACCATGGCGGTCCTGGAACCAATCCCCCACAGATACTGAGGGACCGCTGTTTGTCGTAAGTCAGGGACTACCTGTACTCTATTCTGTTCCCAAAGTGTGCAGAAAATGTTCCTTGAAGTTTATAAACACACAGATAAATGTCTATGCATATAATGCGTGTGTGAATAATACATGTATCTTGACAATGACACACTGTCTGCATTCCAAGGCCACCTCACCTTTGTCTGCATTCTAAGTCAATCAGGAAAATATGATTAGCAAGTTCTGAAAAGATTCTTGAAGAAAAAGTTTCTGAGCTTTAAAAAAGGAGGCCTTACGGAGGGCTGTGGGGACCATGGTCTCGGGGAACATCTAGCTCAATTGGCAGGACACAGCTTATAAAGACAATGCTCTACATTCTACCTTGGTGAGTAGTGTCTGGGGTCTTAAAAGCCTGTGAGCGGCCATCTAGGAT